TTCATTTATATGAAATGAAATATCCAGTACAGAGAAATCACATGATATGCAATGCAAGTTTATTGGGGATTAAAACCCAAAAGCATGACTCACGACTAACATAGTAAAGAAAATGCAACGTGTATCCTGTAATTGGCATATGCAATAAGCGTAGGCTCATGATCGAACATGCAACATGTTATACAATACATATAAAATGCAACCCTGAATTAAAAGAATAACACTAGTTGGTCGTACAGACGACTTAGGGGTACTAAGCTACTTGTTCTAAAGTACAGGGTTTGCACTGCGACACCATTGAGACAGTGCGCAGGCGCCGAACATTAATACCATTGGTACAATGGTGGCAAATTACACCCTCAGCATGTAATGATTGCTAACGACACATGTGACTCAACATGCAACATACATGAGCTACAAGTCTCAACGCATACGAAAATGCAATGCAAACAAATATGCAGATGCTAATTGATGTTGCGATGAAAGCAAAGGAACGATGCTACGGTGTTGTGACAACACAACTACAACATAGCCCCTCTGATCTAGAGGAAAAAAGGTGTCGGTATCATGAAGCTAAAGTGTGCCACTCTTATTCTCAGATCAATGTAAGCTAACACTGTAAACCCTAATGCAAGTATGTACTCCTAAGTAGTTGCAGGGCACATCTTATCGGGTTGTCAGCATGAGTGAGTCCTGAAAATAATGATAAATGAAGTTATGAAGTTTAAGCAGTAACAGTGAGATCGTAATAAGTCTGATCGATTAGAGGTACCGAAGAACTGCCACACCCACAAAGGGATGTACCGATAGTTTGGGATACAAATCCCCAAGCTTCCAATCTATAAAGATTTGAGAACCACTTGTTCAGAATAATCAAACTCGACTAGAAAAATTGCCACCCTTACACATGGGTGTACCAACAACGTGTGGGTGAAAATTTTAGGCCCACAAACCTACAATGGTAGTTGTTCTATCTAGTTGAAGCTGAGTATGTGGCGGGGGACATGCGGTCATCGCATTGCAGCAAATGCAATGCGGTGACTGCATGTCGAATGAGAGTAATGATTCTTGGATCACAACCACGATTTTGTGGCTTTATCAATAAAGTCGCAATGCGAACCCAAATATGCTCAAAGCGTTAACACCATGGGTTTGGCAAGTCAGGTGGGCCGTTGCATTGAGATTAGTACAACATCTCTTGGCCGCATAAAGTGGGTCTGGCTCTGCAGTGCCTATGTGTCGGGCCAAGAATTAGAGGGATAGTGTGTGGCACCATTATGACAATGCCACGATGCCATCGATCGATACTGGGTATGGTGAATAGGCTTTGAGAAGTGGTGCCTAGGTGGCACACCCAAAATGGGTATTAGTGTTGCGGCGCTGCAGCTCTGGGGCTAAAATAGAGGTTCGAAATGTACTTCTTTCACTTTAAATGGGGGTAGGAAAGCTTCTAACCTAGGGGTATCTCTAACATCAGCCTTAGCCTAATCCTCTAACCCAAAGCATTAGTGGTTATGGATAAATGAAAATGTGAGTGAAAATTATTTCTCAACTATGCGAATGTTGAATGTTGTTCATATGATTGAAAGCTCTGAGGTTTTCTCCACGGGATCTAGATGCTCCATGTGTTTTGAGTACTTTTCTGTCCAAGAGCAACAATGCTTCCAATAATGCAAAATCCATCGCACAAGGAAGAATGGGAGAAGCCTCACATAACACTCTAGTCACTCTAAGGGAGTCGTGAAGGGAAGAAGATTCAAGAATTTCAACACGTCAGGTTCCATAGTGCTAGATCACGACGTTACGATGCAGCTTACATGGAAAGCATTTATCAATCTCATGCCGAATGTTCCCTCTGTGATGCACTAGGTGCAGATTTTTGTCATTTAGTTTCAAAACCTAGGTGCACCAATTAGTGGCTTCGTGGCGCTATTGATGCTGCGAGTGCCACATTAATTGACAAGACAGCTGACGCTCCATGATTTACTTGTGCTTGTTAGAAGGGACAAAATGGTGCCTGGGTGCTAGTTCAGGGTGCCTTGGTGAGCTGACGTGGCACATGCCACATAGACTGACAAAATGAAGTTTATGCTTTGAGGCTTTGACACACGTTAACATGATAACATGGCGTTGGCCAAGGGGCCTGTAGTGTTCATGACATGGCTCTGACACCGTCAAATCAGCCGCCTCACTCGAAACTTAAACGATTGGCTTTTGGTGCCCACGTGGCGCACACAACAATGCAACACCCAGAATAAGTGTTGCGGCTTTGATGAGTGATGCCACAAAATTCAATAATTGCCAGGCGATCTTGCTTTGATGTTAGACATGGGTGCTTAAACACTGAGCCCAAGCACTGTGACACTACATGATGGCGTTGGGACACAAACTCTCTGTTTGTCTCATGTCACGGTGCCATCTTTGAGCATTGTAGGTTCAAGTACTGACGTTGCGGCGTTGGATTGAATTCGCGTAGTTTTTAAGTGTTCGAAAAAAAATGATATTAAACATTGTGATTATTTTTGTGCATATGTGAAAAAATGTAATGATGCAGCAAATATATTTTTTAATTAAAGAAAGAAGAAGAGCTCGTAATTTTGAAAATATAAGAAAAAATAATACTCCATGTATGGGAGGAGTACATAAGCACATGGGAAATAACAGACGAGAAAAGAAATGGTGACTACTAATCCTCCATTTTTTCTTTGTCGTCGTCGTCACCCATGGTGCCTCTCGGTCTTGCCTCTGAGTAGAACTGGTAAGACGAGGGGGGAGGGGGGCGCACCTCGGCTTTGTTCGAAAGCCTGGGCTTGCCACTCGAATTGTCTGCTCTCCTGATGCTCTATGAAGCTGAAGTGATACTTGAGAGATTCGACCTTCCGGTCAACCAAGGTGATTTTGCCCAGAACTCCTGAATTTGTTGAGGTGTGGTGCGGAAAAGGTGGAGAGGCTCGACGAAGGGGACATGACCTTGCTTTTTATATCCTCTTAGGGCATGGATTGTCGTCTCCATGATGGGCTTCTTTGAGCCAAGCTGTTCCTCGCTCTTATCAATGTAGACTCTTGCCGAGTGGTCAATCCTAAGGGTCATACTACCCTTACCAATATAACGAATGTAACTTAAGATAACACAACCAATGCCCATTGATTACTCAATTTGGATCACAAAATTTAGAGCAATGCTATCGCGGGTGACCTCAATCACATGTGAGCTCAATGGGAACCAAGAAAAAATGAAGAGGTGTCAGGCGTTACTCATAGGTCATGTCATTAGCGAAAAGGTTAAGAAGCTTCCCTCCGTGCTCATTCTAGCTAACCTTGGAATCGGGCTGCATGAGGTTCCGTAAGATCGCATTTGCGGTGAAGTTGAGCTTGACTTGTTTGGCAAATTGTGAGCAGTAGCAATCGGCTCGTCTGACAATTTGTGAGCAGTAGGCTCGCGAGCCAGTTTAGGAGCTCGAACTGAAAACTCAATTTTCACTTGAGCTCGGCGGAGAAGTTACTAGTGGCCGGAGGAGGAGGCAGCGGAAGTTCACTGGAAATGCATCAACATGACTAGTAGTAGGCTAATCGAGTTTCAGCTTGAGCTCATGGCTCGATAAGCTCGGCTTGCGAGATCATTAACTGCTCGAGCTCGAGCTGGCTCGACTCATTTGCACTCGTAGATCACATCAAAATCTAGGTTCGCGTCTAGAAAATAAGTATTACCATCAACAACATATCTATTTAAGCCGAATGGGCTGTTGATGGTGGCATTGTTGCAGGGAAATGTAGACTTGATCGTCCGAGGATTCCTTGGCGTTGGCCAGGAATTCTTGGTTGACCAAGACTACAATGCCGTCAGGCTCTGCAACAATTGTCTCCCAACCTTACTGTCATATCATTTGCTTTATGATGTTACTCAGTGAGGAAAAACTAGAATAAGTTTTGAGAGGATAGAGCCTCTGCATACCTTTCTTGGGTAGCCACACTCGCAAAGCAGGACACATCATGCCTGTTGGACCAATATGCCAGTATTTTTGCCCTTGCCAACCTTGTTGCCATCCCTTCACAAGATTCTAGGAGCTTGGAGAGGCTGGAAGAAGAGAGGAGAGGGGAATTTTGAGGAATGTGAACTGTTCGGCAATCCTTCCCTCCTTATAGAGGATTTGGCACTGCAGAGCTTGGCAACAGCGTTGCGTTGCTGGGCCTTCTATAGGCCTCATCACTATAAACTCTCATTTCTTTTACACTAGGTACCGATAAGTGCCATCAATAAAATTAATTGGGCGCCGCGGCTCACGTGACTCAGCACCTTGAAACTTTGTTGCCAAGGGTCTGAGTTGCGGTGCTAGACCCAAACTCTCCAGATTCTGCTCGTTTTACCTATTGAAGTGATGAACTAAGTTTTAGTGTGTTATAACTAAATGATGGCATCGAAAACGTGCTAAAAACGATGCAACAAAACCAAGACATGCTTGCTATTTGTAGAGATAAGAAATGCGTTATGATTATCTTGGCTCTTTGCAATTGGTTTTAAAATTTGCAGTCATATTGGGTTCATTAAAATGTTCAAGTTAGTTATGGCTTATGTAAAATCTTGAACTGGCATATATGTATGCCATGTCGTTAATGAAATTTTAGAACGACCATTAATTGTAGTTAGATTTTGTTTACCATGCTGCTGGTGCTAAAAATCAACTTGAATTTGCAATCCGATTTTTTATATCAAGTGAGTTATAAAAATCTAATACATTTGCAATTTGCTACTGGTGTTCGTCTTTAGCAAGTTGTTATAACTAGGTTTTTTGGATTTTGATTTTCCATACATTTGTTGTAACAAAACCTGATTTGTTTCAAACTACTACTTACTACCTTCTTTTCTTGATTGTTGCAATTCAATACTGCTTGTTCTATACATTTAAGTTTCAAGATTAATATTTTGAGCATTTTTTAGACAATTTCTTTTCAGTGATTTGCTTAGTTTTATTAAGATTAATGTGATGATTTTGTTTTTGTAGAATGCGCTGCGTCAACAAAGATTTGTTCGTGAAGTTACAATTCAGTACAACCTTTGCAATGAGCCCTGGTGATCATAAAGCTTCAATTTGATTGCCTTTTTTTTTTCCAACTAATCAATGCGGAATATGAGATTGCACTGATTGATTTACTTTTTTAATTTTTTTCTGGTCTTCAGGTTCATAATATGTGATTTGTTTTCACTTGCAATTATTGATTTACTATTTGTAGGGATCAAAATATTTTGATGCTGCGTCTAATGCACATCATAAGGGTGAATTATATGTGAAACTTGCATTTTGAGTTTCTTTGCAAACTCTTTCAGTTCAAACCCAAGTATATTTTGTGCAACTGAGACAAATAACTAATTACAACATTAAATTTTACAAGTGCACAAAAACGATTAAATGTGATGATGTTAAGCTTGACGAAACTATATATGCAGGTAGTATAACTTAGAAGCATGGTGATGGTAGATTTACCAAACCTCACATGCTATGAGCATCCAAGCTTGTTTAAACACCAAGATAAACAATATATTTAATGTTGAACAAAAATATTATAGTTGTGAAAACATGGTTGAACTTGTAGCACTATAACGAGAATTCACTCCAAAATGCTTAAGGGACTATTTGGGATCAATTTATATTTTCATTAGTTTTTATTTCTAGCTGTGTTTATTTTTTTAGACATAAAATCATATATAATTCTTAGATATGAGTTGTTTGTTTTTATTAAGTATCACATATGTTGATTTATGTGGTGACTTGCGATGAATGCGGTCCACGGTGGACGTTGTGACGAGTGGCTCATGGCATTGGAGATGGTTGTGGCATATGATAATAGTAGTAGTAGTAGTCAATGGTGGCAGTGGCAGGCGGCGTCAAGGATGAGTGGTGGTGGTTGGCGGGTGGTGGTAATGACAACTGTTGGTGGCTAGGGTGATTTTCATTTTCAAAATAATGAAAACAACTATAAAATACTTTTAAATTATGGGTATTTTAGAAACATATTAATTTATTTATAAAATTAAAAAAAAGTTTATAAACACCAATGCTACCATTATAGGGCTTCTAGAAGGTATTTGGGAAGTGGATTTCACAGAGAGGTGGTTGTGGAATAGCGAGAGAAGGCTAATATGTGAGGTCAATGGTGTTTGGAAGGGATTGTGTGGATAAATCTGTTGTTGGATAGCATGTTAGAAATTGTCGGTGACTGCTTTGGCTGAAAATATTGAGCGAGATGCGAATCAGCTCTGTATGGACGACTGACAGATAACAAGAAACAAAATGAATGTTTTCCCTGCTGCGAACAGTAGTTGGCTGGACGTTTGACGATGAATGAAGACTTAAAATGTTCATGAGAGATCACCACCTTGACCTCATCTGGTTACAGACACATCTTCTGATAGCAATCTAAGGATACAACACTCCAATAGAGAAAATTGGGTGAACCTATTCCACTTAAACAAAACCAGAAGTTTGAAAAAAACTAGAAGTAGAAGATATAAATAGTCAATGCTGGGAAGATAACTTAGTTAGAAATAAGAAGATAAGAAATAAATCAGAAAAGAAAAGCAGCGTACAAAACAGAAATAAATGCAAATTATCGTGCTTGTCACTCTGCTTGATCGAGGTTTTTTGGAGTTCCGTGAAAACTCGTGTTTCCGTGGCATATTTGACGCTATGTGTATATCGACTAAACAAACCTGTTTTTAAAATGAAAGCTAGGAAAAAAAAATGAAAATTGATCCTTAATAAGCTTTGGCTTTCGAAACATGTAATTTTAAATCCTTGCTATGTATATACATCTTAACTTACCTCCATTCATTAACTCGAGTATCCCAAACCACACCATTATGCCAACATTCATCCTTCTCGAAGGAATACCCTCACCAAATTACTTGGTCTTTTCACTTTTTTGTCCAAATAAAGTTTGGTCCGTTGACATTTATATCATGTGAAATGTTGTGCTTTTTGAATTACAAATAAGTGATGCACTAGTAGCATACAGGAATCTTTTTGATGCACACCTATAAGTAGCATGCCCAAACTTATTACAAAAATTGCATCAAATCTCCGACAAAGGATGCTTGAAGCTTTTAATAATTATATTATTTTGCCTTCTCGAGTATATATTTTGTATCTATGATTTGCATCATAGATTATGAATAAAATAAGTGTTAAGGCAACGTGTTATGTAATTACTAGAGATAATAGAGAAAATTATTCATTTTTTCTCTTAAACTAGCAACCTCAACCCCTAATAAAGAACACAGGAAATTTTATCATGCATTTTATCGTGCTTTTTCGTAAGAAGCTAACTGAATTAGGAAAAGAGTGCGTTATATCTCATTCTAATGGGCCCATGGGTGAGACTCCAACAGAATTTACAGTGGTGGTCCAAGACGGTCCCGAATCCGAGGAACTAACACCAAACACATGTCAATCTTAGAGAAAAATATTTTAGACTTGTCAGATGTATCATCTACTTTCTAAGTTGCCTCTGCTGAGGGAGGTTCAGCTTGTCAGAAATGAGAAGTTTTTGATCAATTTATGTGAGAAAATATAGAATCAATTAGATACTAAATTCAGTTAAGCAGTGCACTGATCGACAGATGGCAAGGCCAGAGGGATGAAACACTAAGTTGCGAATTGCCCTAGGGGCTGTTTGGTTTGCTGAAAATGAAATGTAATGTAAAAGGTTTGGAGAGTTCTATGATTATAATGTATTTGAAGTACTTTTGATTTGTTTGGTTTACTATAAAAGAAACGTTGAACTTTATATTTTTCTTTTTTGTTTTGAAGTTGATTGAAGACAGTATATTTCAAAATATGCTTTTTGTTTAGTAGGGGCCGGGGGCGGCAGGCAGCGACGGATAGCCGACAGTGGGTTGCAACACTGGCTAACTGCGACACATACATACGACAAAGACTGCGGCGGGGGCTTGCGGCAATTGCAGGCGGACAACCGAGAACGGGCTACAAGTGGATTGCGATAGAAGGACGACGGTCGGTTGGCGGTTGCAAGAGGCATCGTCCAAATGTCGTTCGACGGCGACGATGATGGACGGTTGATGGTGGATGGCGTCAGGCGGTTGGACGATGCTTATAGTATTTTACATAAATGATGTAATTCAAATTTATTCAAATCAACTGAATTCTAAATTTTGCCAAAATGAGCTATGACGTAAACTTCAAATTCAATCATACTTTACACTTTATTTGTAATTCTTCTTTTCAAATAAATACGTCTCTAATCTCTGCAAAAGAATTACAGTATACCACAAATTCACTTAACCAAACAACCCTTAGGAGCTTGGTGGGCCAGAACATGCTATAATGGGATCTAAGTCCTTTTCCAGAATAAAAGGTCTCTCCTGGGTGGTTTCGCGTTAGTGTGGCCCATCCGTCCATTGATTTCATGCCAAAGTTGATTTCTTCTGATAAGCATATTATAGATTTTTTTTTTCGAGATTTGGCTCGGAATAATCTACGTCGTTTTGCAGCTTCAGCTCAAGTTGTTTCAAAAGTGGATGGATACCTATTCTATCATGATGTCATTTGGAATGACATCGTCTACATGATTGACTTACTGAGAGCTTGCAATATTGCCGCTACTTTCAATGTAGTTGACCTGACTACTATGCGGCGACAAAAGCTTCGATAAATTTGGTTGAAGCACCTCAACCGTAGGAGACTGACGTGGAGATAAGGGGGACCCCACTCCCTTTCCACTCCATTGCTATAGTGCGCGGGCGCGCTGGCTCCTGCTCATACGAATGTCAAACAGCCAAAAAAGCGTCTGTTTTCGATTCCTTTTCAATTTTTTCCTTTATTGATTCCTTCTGTTATGGGCTTGTAATTTCTGATACATATGTATATATGTATATATGTTGTTCATTTATGGTACCATGGACAATATGGGAGCTGTATCAAGTCATGCTTTTCAGCAAGCACGTTAGCTTTGCCATGGGAATGTCTGGATGTAATTCTAAAAATTTGATTTTTTATTTGTTCAAACCATTTTCACCATGGAGTCACCAAACTTGTCGCAAAGCTTAGCTACTAATTAAATATAGTTTAGCTCATCTTGGTGTATGTTTTGCGGGCTACTGCTTCATGTGGGGTTGGCTTGATGGTCAAATGTGGCTGCAAATTTCTGCAGGTGATTTAAGAAGATTTCATTTGGGAAGATTTAAAGGGAAAGTGAAATCCTTGAGCTTACTGAAAGATAAAGGAACACTAAGTTATGTTATAAATATTAGCTAATAGAAGATGATTTTTACTCTTTAAATAAGTCACCTACTTAAAGATTGCCAATAAGGCGAGGTCACCTATTATCCTCTCTTTTAAATCCAGTCCCCTCTGACTTCCTTTCTTTTTTACCTTTGTCTTGTTCTTATTCTTGCTTTTTTGTTGGCCTTGATCGAGTCAGATGTGATATCGTGAGTTGTAATACTATGACTCCTCAAAGGTGTGCTCTTTTTCTAGAACTACTCAACCCGTCCCTAGCTCCCATTTACAACACGTTCTGCATTGTAACTTATTATGATACTTGCACTTTGAGTGGTAGTTTCAGGTAAAGCTTAGTAGCCCATTTAAGCTTACTCCTAGTTATAATGTGAATTTTCAATGATTGCAAGTTATAAGGATATTAGTCCAGCACATGTTTCTTGTCTTATGAATAAAGTTTATGGTCATTCTTACATTGACATTTTGTTGAAGCAATAAAAAACGCAGCATATGTTTGGGTTATTATTTTAATCCACTTTACAATTAGCTTTTCTGGTGGCTTTGGAATTAATATCAAGCATGTTAATAAATACAAAGTTGACCATTTTTCTTGTTTGATGTAACCGTTTTTACAGGCTAAAATATAGCATCAACATAGTTGCTGACAAGGGACTTAAGAAGCCTCTTTATACATCAGCACGATTGAAGAAAGGGGAGGTTTTATATTTGGAAACACATTATAAGAGGTTTTTCCAATTATTGCTTTTCTTAATTGTGAAATATTAATCCGCATGTTAAAATAGTCTCCTCTTTTTATTGTTTGGTGGACCCTCTTATCACTCCTATTTGGATCTCTTTTCGATGACTAAGCTTTTACTATTTAACCAATCTACCTAATTTTCTTTTGCTTCTATTTTCATGAAGTCCTTGAACATGTGACAATGATTAGCATTTTCCTGTTAATTATACTGCAATTTGGTGTTTTTCAGCCGCAAATTTTACTGATAATCTATTGCTTTTTTACACTGGTTCCTTATCTCCTGTTATTTTGCATGTTTGTTTTTTTCTTAGATCACGTTTTACTTGATTCAACATCTTCTATGCAAGATCTTTTGTTATTAGTTCAGGAACTGTTGGTGATTTGTTGTTTGGTATAATGTTTTCTTTGGAGACATACATATAGTACAGTAGGTTTGCTGGTTATACCACCTACAGTCAGCGTCTTATTATGGTTGTTCCTATGAATGCCCAAAGCAAGTTCATCTTCTTTTTTATTTTTATTTTGCTTGATGTGACCTGTAGGTATGAACTTTGCTTCAATGGAGAGAAGTCCGTTTGTAATGGAACGAATTCAACTTCTAATCATTTGATAGAATCAGAGCAGGAGAAGCAACAAAGCCATAATGTCCAAAATGGTGATAAACATCTGTTTGAGCGTGAGAATGTTATTGATGTCTACCGTTGGTCTCGTTGTAAAAGACCCCTTCCCCAAGATTTTATGCACTCTATTGGTATTCCATTACCAGTTGAGCATCTCGAGGTACACTGTTCATCATGCTCATAGAAATATGTTTAATAAGTAAATTAATTTTTTTATAACCCTTCTAGAATATCTTTTTTTTGTGCCACTGGTATCACTGCTAGACCACAATCCCTAGAATGTATGCATAAAAAAAAAAATGTAATCTAATAAACTATTTAATCATTCATGGATGCAAATAACATTTCTAACTTGTCATGACTTATTCAACATCTTAGAGTAGCTTAGGATGACTTCTGCATAAATAAAACAACTTAAAACAATCTTTTTCCTCTTCATTTAACTTCCAATATCTCAAAAGAGCTATTGAACCAAATCTTTTTATTTATCATTAAGATTTTCACGTATTCAAATTCATCTTGATAGAATAGTTATAATAATCAATATGTGAATGTTAACTATCTTTTATGAGCTGTGTGTGTATTATGTATAAAATCCTTTTTATTGTCTACTCACTGAATTATTTTCTTTAAAAGCAATAATCAGTTAATAGGGTTAGTTATAATCATTTTAATCTGTTGGTATATGATAGTCTTATATATATAAATATATTTATATATATATATATATATATAAATATATAAATAT